AAAAAACCGGCTGCCAGCAGACTAAACCAAATCGGACTCACACAAAAATAATTGGACAGTCGAACTAAATCGAACTTTTGATTTCTGAACTCTTGATTTTTTGTAAAACTGGTGTTGAAAATCAATAACAAGTTTTTCGAGGCTCGAGTTACTTGGTAACTCAAGTTACTCAAGTTCTGTCTGTCTTTATGTCTGTCTCTCGTTGTTAGGGACACACACACATAAATTTATTTATGCTAGAGTTGATGAGGCTGATTGTGCATCGAGAATACTTAACTATCAACGTAGAATATTTCTTTATTTCCTTCGTTTGTATTCACAGCAAATAAACTTTTGTCAGCGAATTGTTTCCACCGATGGCCAAAGCAGGATGTAGCATTTCCTACGTCACTTCCGGTGTTTTGCCCAGGCATAAGCTCTTGACTTCTTCCGGTAGAGGGTCACACAAGAGAACCCTCTTATGTTGTGCAAATATCCTTAGCACAAATATATAGTTTTAAGCTGTAAATTCATAGAAGACAGCACGACATAGAGGCAGAGGTTAATGAGTTGTCTAATTTTGCTGATAGTTTTTGTATTATTTTTCACAGTTTCTCGATAAGAGGTAATTCTAGACGTTTAGTTCCAGATAATTTCTTCCCTTTCTCTGCACCTCAATCGATCGGAATTTGAACAGATTTGTACCTCTTTGTCTGCTCATTTCATGAAAAAACAACTCAAGGCAGGCGCGGATCCATACTGGTTTCCAACGTTTTTACAGAAATCGGTCAGATTTTTCAGAATTACTCAGATGGACTGTAGGGGTAAAAAAATTCCAGAACGTTTCCTAAGGGAGCGTGGCCCCTCTAGGAGGCACTCTTTGTATCAGTCACCATTTATCCTAGATCCGCCGCTGTAAGGAAAGAGTCAGGAAACGGTACCGTTAGAATATCATTGAATGACAGGCACATTTTAACGTTGGATATTGACCATCCTCACAGCTTATTAAAAGCAAATAAACATTTCTCAAGGGATTTCAGCGCGATTCCCACGGCTTAAATTTGTAAACATTCTCAAAACATGAATTATCTCGGCTTTTGTTCGAGTGGTCCGTTATAAAGTCGCTGGCAACCTTTGTTCCCTCTATCGTGTCAAGAATCTTCGAGTGTCTGCGCACTTCGGAGCCCAGCACTTGTGTTTCGTGCAAGGCCGGCTAAATAATAGTTTCTCTGGCCCGCACGTCATACAAGCGCACACAACCTGCCTCATTTGTCATCGCAGTCCCAAGTCGCAGTTTCTGCGCGGAACGAAAATGGCTCTGAACGCGTCGAGATCAAAATGGCGAAGGATTTCTGATCAAAACGACGTCTCTTCAGTTGTAAGCGGCCTCATAGCAGATGCTGACCCAGAATTGTGTGTTAAGTTACTGAAAACACCGTCGCTGAAGAATTTTTCTGGCATCCGTCCGCGACTCGAAAAGGCAAGCAAGGAATGGCTAAGTGAATTTCTTAATCTCGGCGGATTCGACTGTTTATTCGATGGTCTAACGTCACTATCTTCTAGAAATGGACTGAAGTTCACAGAAGCTCTTGAGCAAATCGAGTGTGTGAGATGTATAAAAGCAGTTATGAATTCGTCGGTTGGTTTGGAAGTTATGACCGCGAACAACGAGTTAACTAGATCACTGGTTAAAGGTAAGCGACTTGAAACTTACAGCAATAGTCCTTGGGCCCGGGTTACAGATTCCGTCGAGTATCTTCATGTTGTGTAAACAATGTTCGCGGCTGTTAAATGTGTTTGACATCAGAAGCACACCGAAATTTGAATCTGGTTAAAATAAGTTCTTGTCTTAGCCGTAAAATGAAGTGGGCTTCTAATTATTGAAAAGTTCCACAGTAAAATAATATCTGGAAATATAATGATTTCAGCCATTGAATAACACATTTCGCGTGGTTTGTACACCGTTTGTAATATCACCTGATCCAGTGAATACTGCTATTGTTGACCTAGGATTAAGCAAAAATGAATCAAATTTGCATACGCAACTTATCGTTTATTTAGTTTTCTACCCACATTAAATTAAACTTTTGCCAAGTCGTATAACTGTAACGTTGTTGATCTTGACCATTTTCGTAGATTTAGCTAACAATATGGTCGTTGTAAAATTGTTCCACGTTGGTTAATTATTTTATTTCCTGCCTCTTTGCTTGTTGTTTACGGCGGGGCAGGTGTTAAAATGTGAATATTGTTTTGGACAAATGCTTTTTATAATTGTCTTTCTCTCTCTCTCTCTCTCTCTCTCTCTTTCGAAAGTGAAAGAGAAATGTAGAATAGTCACAAAATTACTCTGTATAAAATTTATTCTAAACGCAAACAACGTCAAAGAGCCTGCGCCTAATTCTCTTATATCAATATATGTACCGCCCGGTAACGTTATATTCAATGAAATACCTCGCTCGCGCGGTATTGGTCCGGAACTTCGCGAAAGAAAAACGAAAATTTGACAATCAGAAGGAGATCTGTCAAGTTTGGAATCAAGGGGGTTAAAGATCAGCCCTTTTCTTACAATTACTGCAGGAAAAAACATTTCGTGTGGACATTTCTTATGGAAATTTTGTTCTTGAAATTTTTAGCAAGGGCGATCTGATTGGTGTGAAAGAGATATAATTTCGCGCGTGCTTGTTTATTTCGTAGTCGTTCCCTTGGAAGCAGATATTCTATTGACTATAAAGATTAAAAAAGTCGTTTTAGTTTTAACGAAATGAAATATGGGTCCATTACTAAGTTACTATTGAATTACTATCTATATGCTTGTCACATTACCGCATACATGCATAATAATA